ATGTGTTTCAGTGTAAATACAGTAGTCATCTACCATATAATGGATGTCTGTTGTATTTGTATCTATGTTGTGGTATAGTGAGGTGTAACAGTCAATATTAGACCTTCTACAGCCCTACTCATATTTAGCTTGCTGTTTTTTCTCCTTTGTCCTGTAACTTATGCTTAGGCATGTGACTTGGTAGATACATTACTGTTGTAGAATACAACAGTATTCTGTTGTACAAAATACAACAGTATTTTGTTTTGGATTGGGGCCACTTCAAAAAGCATAGATTAGTAATAATCCCTGGACCATTGCAGAGGCTCGAAAGAGACTTTGTGCAGGTGAGGAGGAAGTAAAACACATCTGCTTTAACCATCTGTCAGGGCTGGAAACCAGTCATGAAATTTAGAATATTGGTAAGGAATCATCTCCTAAAAATTAAAGAAAATGACTTATTACTTTTTGTCTATATCCCTTGCTGATACTTTGCTCTCATTAACCCTGAGTCTTGCCAATAAAGACATATGTGAGACCTTTTTAGTGGCTCTCAGAAGTTTGAACTCTTTGTGGTAAATCCTTAGCTTCAGAGACCCCAAGTCATTTGAGGGCAGTTCTTGCTTTTTCAGTGCGCATACGGGACCACAGACTGGGAGATGGTCTGTGAGATCTCTTAGGTGGGAGAGGAGGGAATGAGGCAGGTCAGGAGGGTTGATGTCCGAGTTTACACATTCTTGCTGCCTACCAAAATGGCAAGCTGGAGCTGGCTTGAGGTGGTTTGGCGTGGCTGGGATGGAGAGAAGGAGCAGTGGGAAAGAGTATGCTTCCTCCCCTGAAGTGTGGGAAAGTGGAGGTGGATTCACTTAATGATTAGTTCTAGTTTCTACCCTGTGTGTATTTATGTGTATAAATGCAAAAGCTGTTGTTTTGTCAGGAATGTTAAGTTTAGGTTTGACACTTTGAAACCGGAAAGGTTTTTACAAAACCTTGGATGCCTCAATATATTCTGTTAAACTGAAAAAAAAAAAACCAAACCCCCCAAAAACAGCCCCAGGTTTCTTAATTTACTGTCCTACCCACCAGCATCTTAGAGAATAACTGACTTGGCTTTCTCCATGGAATTGCCTATTACATTGACATTAAAAAAAAAAAAAAAAAAAAAAAAAAAAAAAAGGCGTGTGTTTGCTGAAGTGTTAAATAGAGGGCAGAACACTAAAATGAGTATCAATAGAACCTAGACTGTTCCAATATCCTAGAGTATGCTGACAAGGTTGCAGTTGAAGATGGTTGGGAGCTTTTACTCATGATGATTTTCTGGTAGAAATGCCTGTTTCCCAAAACTGAGAAATTTTGCTGGAAACCATGAACAAACAAAGAAAAAACCAACCAACTAACCAAACAAAACCAAACAAAAAACCCCAGCTCACCCATCTGAAGCAAGCTAGTTTGCATCTTGGTTCATAGAAACGGTCTATAGTCCTGACAATTAGTAATCTGTCATTAGATCACACAGCAGGTATGATTTTAATTGGGAAGCTCCTGCCACCTTGTGGCAAGAACTTTCACCTTTCTTGAATCAAAAGAATTAAAGTGGATACCTAATACCTTTGTAGAACAAATGTATAGCTAAACAAACAGCAAGCAGGGAGGCCAGACACTTTGTTTGGTTTGCTTCACTATTTGCGGATTATCATTTGTAAATATTAATAATATTTTAAAATTAAGAATAATTAAGATTAATACATAAGCTGATTGCAGCTTTTTTTTTTTTTTTTCTGCAGCAGCTTCTTCCTTCTTTCTTTCCAACGCACTATAGAAATTAATTCTGTGCAAGTAGAGTATTGCACCAGGAGAATGTACAACAACTGTGGTATTTGTATAAAAAGTTGTTGACAAGAGTCATTGATGGGTGTCAGTGTAGTTTGTGTTCATCCTGCAAGATATCTGCTTACATTATGGCACTACTTGCTTTCAACTGTAGGAAACATTCAGCTATAGTTTCTTTCCTAGTGACCACTGAGATTTTGTGACATCTTGATGTGCTTCATTGAAACCTTTTCTCTGTTCAGAAAATGGGAAAATAAAACTGGCATCTGTGAAGAGAAACATTCATCTTTGTATTCCTTCCTGTTTCTTTTGCATTTGGTAATCGATGCCAACTGATGTGGTTCTGTATGTACATATCCTGAGAGTATATGGTGTCATGTAAACTGTTTCATGGATGCTGGTCAAACTAGGGTCCTGAAACTGTGACAGTTTCAGGCACCCACAAGACAGGCTGACATGGGAAAAAAAGTTCTTTACTGACTAGATTTGTTGCATCCTTGATTTCCTAACGTTAGATTAATATTTCTTGTGAGGTCTTATCTGAGAAATATGTTGCAACCATGCTGATTTAAACAGACTAAAACAAACAATGAACCTCCGTACCATCACCACCTCCTGCAAATATGAACTCATTCCATTTTAGGACCTGAAACTAATACTGAGATCAGTAGAAGAAACAGATGGAATTTAGTTTGCAATAGTTAAGACTTCCTGTATTCCTATTTTTATGCAAACCAAAATCTTGATATGTGGGATTTCCTTTTCTTAACATGTGGTAACAGTTTCTAATTAAAACACTGATAGCTGCACTCAAGAAATGCCAAACTGATAGCCTTGGAGATTGTAATCTTGGAAGTAAGATACATGGAAGTAAGATACCAGCTTTGGATACTTGATAAGCAGCATTTATAATACTATGTTAATGTGTCTTGTCCCTAAGCCATTTCACCGTATGTGATTTTAAAGCTGATTCCCACACAAAACTGTACCCATGCTGACTGCTTGGAGTGCTATTATGTAGGGTAGATGATGCCACGTCTTGGTAGAGTATAAGGATTTTATGGAGAAACAAAATTGCAGTTAGAAATGGTTGCCACAGTAGGCATCTGCATTTGCAAAGCCCTACTTTCCCAGCTGTAGTAATCTACAGTTTAATCTGTGCTGGTAGTAAAAACATTAGTGCTTTGGACATGTAAGTGTTGGAATTAGTAAAGCTTCTCTGTGGCTGGAACAAGCCTTCCTAGTGTGAAAAATAGTTTCAACACATAATGTTATCCCTCTGTGTCCTGACAGCAGCTGGTATGACTGTAAATGCTGCAGTTATTTTATAGCTTCTCAGCTTGCTCCAAAATATGTTTGGGGTGAATAAAACATGTTATAAATATAAGGATAGTTATTATCAGGGAGAGACAGCTGTGTAACAACATTCTGGACAATAAAGATAGCTCTAGGGATATTTATTAAGAGAACTGTCCTACCAGATGGACTCTGCAGGAAGGACGTACATCACAAATGCCACATCGTAAGAATTATTATACACAAACAGCTGCTAAGGCTCATCCAGGGCTATTGGAATAAAAAGATAGAAGAGACCTCACTGTGAGCCAAAGGAAGAATTTGGCTTTTAGCAGTTTTAAAAATCAGTTACATTCTGAATCTGCAAAGAGGTGATCTGTTAAAAGTCCAAGCAGGAGCTTAGTGGCTCAGCAAAAATTGTTCTTGAATAAGGAGTTAGTGAGCGTAGTTTTCCTGAAGGCATGTGGAAACGGAGTTTTATGTAGAAATTGGATCAGAGATTAATCTTGACTTTACAAGGATAGAAAATAGGGAAAATAAATTGCAAGCAGCGATGGCTATGTGATATTTACTTACTTTGGAAGTAGGGGATGAGAATTTGCAAAGTTGAAAATTAAGAAGGAAACAGGAGCTAGAACTAGACTACAAGTGGGAAAAAGCCTGTTATTTGCTGCTTTAAATTAAATTTGGGAAATAGTTTCCTGTCATAAGCATAAAAATGGACCTGGTCTGGATCAAGCTTCAGATTAGGTAGAAGATATTTTTAAAGAAAATATTTGTCTTTTCTCTTGATACTAAATTAATATAATTTAGGGTTCGTTAGTCCATTTGAGTTGATGGTAAATGTTTATAAGTGAAGTTCACCAAATTAGCAATGTGCAGCAGAAGCATTCCACATTTCAAGTGATGTGTGGGTTTATGTTTAAGCTTTACAATTGCTGTGAACTAGAGGATTGAAGACAGGCATATGTTCCAGTTAAGACATGACTTGCGCAACAGCTCTGTGGGAGTTTTGATTGTGAGACTTGGTTATTTCTCTGCAATGGAATCATAAACAAAAAGCATGATGCCCTTTTGGTTTTCTATACAAAGTATGAAGTAAAATCAAAACTATGATAAACAAACCTTACTACTTGTTAAAATGCAGGATCATGTTCTTGCACGTATTTTTACGTTTCCAAACTGTCAGCTCACACAAAGGGAGTGAACATTCCCAGTAGGTTCAGAGACATAAGTATCTTTGAAAAGTCACCTGTACCTTGTGAGCATTTTGACCTTTACAAATACCATACAATGGCACTGTAAGTCCTGATTAAAATCCATCAGGTATAGTAACAAGGGGTAGATATTTATTGGCTTAGGTATAGTCAATATGGCAAAATCATGTCAGCAGTAAAGTGCATACCAGTATCTGTGTTTACTGTAAGTTCAGATCTAAGAGACTCTTCTCAGAGCAGGTCAGCAAGAAGATGAGAGGCAACCGCCACAGATTGCATCAAGGGAGATTCCAGTTGAATATAAGGGGAAAAAAAAAAAAAAATCCTAATGTGATGCAAGGACTGGAACAGGGGCCTGGAAAGGTTGTATAATCTTTTTCCTTGAAGTCATCGAAACTTCCACTGGATGAGGGCCTTAGCAACCTGATCTAACTTTGAGGTTACCTTAGCTGGGATCAGGTAGCTGGACTAGATGACATCCCACCAGAAATCCCTTCCAACCTAAATTATTCAGTGATGAAGGGCACCTATTTCTAAATAGTATAAACAGAGCAGTGTTAAACACATCATATGTTAGTGAGCAGAAGCACGATGGACTGCACGAAGAGCCTGCCACAAGAGGGAGGAAATGCCTGGTGTTGAACACAGCACAAGGGTTGTGGGTTCCTCGGGTGGGCGGTAGCTGAGCTGAAATCTCTTTCACAGATCTTATATCTCTGAAAGGGACAATCTCCAAATGTCTGTTGACTTTGAAGCCTGTGACATGCGAGATAAAGAAATAGAGGACGTTTCTTTGTTGCTGCTCTGATGCCAAGAGGACCTCGTGTCAAGCTTAAGCTGTTGCATCCAACATTGTGGAATGTGGATTTTGACTCCGCTGCATTTTCCTAAGAAGGTAACCTGCTTCAAGGAGCCTTCGGATAAACAAGAAAATGCTATAAATCTCATATTAACTTCCCCTTTTCAACTCTGCTGAGTCAGGATGGAAAAAAGCTGTGTGGGTTTTGTAATTTAGATGTTGTTTAAATAGGGGGGATGCCTAATATCTCATGTTCTTAATTTTGTGTGGTGCTTGCAATACTCTTTCAATTTTCAAGAACTGATTTCTGAATGATAGGTGTCTTTTTTTTACCTAAACAGTTTCAAAGGCAAAGGAGTCTTACTGTCAAAGTATAAAGAATATTTTGCATGAAACCTAGAGGGTACTTTTGTATAGCAAACCTATAGGAAATTTTGCTAGATAGCAAGAATAGTGTTTTTGTACAAAGTCACAGAATGGAGATTTGGTAATGTATAGATAGATATAATTTCTGTTAGCAGCCAAATTGCTTGAGGAACACATAGATACACTTTCTGCTTAAAAATCTTCCTGAAAATAGCTGTGGACTTCATATTGATGGGAAATAGTAAATACTTGGACCAAAATTTGCAATGTGTAGCCATTTTTATAGTATCAGAAGGGTGTTATTGTGTGAACAAAGTTTGCTAATTTCTCATTAAGCATTTTGAACTGACAAATTATGTGCATTTCTGGAATAGCAGTTATATTGTACTATGCCACAGAGTACACAATAAGCTATAAAATCTTAGTGTTCCCTTTACAGTCATTTTGTCAGGACCTGGCAGAGTCTAGAGATATACATTGCAGATCTGATCTATATTTTGGTTTGAGGAATTTGAAACCAAAAAAAAGCCTGCAGAAACTAATTTGCCTTTTTGATGCCAACTTGCAAGAATTCTGATGTTTAGGCAATTTTTTTGACCTTTCCTTTTTAACATTTTGCATGTTGAACTGCCACAAACAGATTTAACATTTTCTAGATTAGAGGTATGAGTAATTTTTTCACTGTGGTAACAAAGTCAGCATTTGTGGTAAAAAGGTAAGTCTTTATTTGTGCTTTGACATTTGAGGGAAATCTCCATGGTTGCCACAAAGCAGAAAAGAACCAATTTCTGATTGCTCTCTATCCTTTACAGTTCTGTAAAAGTGCTGTTTCACCTGAATTTTTGGGTCTCACAACGCATGTCTATTTTCTTATGAAAGAAAAGCTTCTCTAAGACTGCACTCCCATCTGAGGAAGGATTTTGAGAATGACTGTGTTTCCAGTAATTGCTGTTCCTCAAAATCTTTCATTTGCATGCCATGACCAGAAGAAAACAAACTGTTCTCTTGTAGATTGGAAACATGTGTGAAGCAAAAAAAAAAAAAAAAAAAAAAAAGTCCATGATGTGTTTGAAAATGCTCTTTTTTTAAGACTGCTCATGGCCATCTCTACTGAGAGTTCTTACCTGAGTATGCTGCTTAACACAGCTGTGAGGGTGAGGCAGGTAAGCTTCCCCGCAGCATGAGTACCCAAATAGGCTCTCTTGGGCTGAAGCCAAGTTCATTACCTCCCGTGAGAGCAATACTTCCACAGGCTGCTTCCATTATGATAAAACTCCATTTTTAATGCTCAGTAATGCTCATCCTTGTGGCCTTTGTCTGTCTCTCTCACTATTTTGTAGCATTGTTTTTTGAAAGCAGTATCCAAACATTTTCAGAATATTAGAAATATTTTGGAACTGGTCAAAACCCTGCCAAAATGAATGAGTCTGTCAGGAGAAGGGGCTGGAGGGGGCATGGCTTGCACTGGCCCTGGCATGGAGAAGAGCACATTAAACAAGGGGCAGGAGCACAGGGTAGAGGGCCCAAGCAACATGACTGGGAGGAAGAGGATTCCTTTCATACAATCTGCTGTCTATGGCTTTGAAACCTGTTGTGGTCCATACAGTAGAAAGTACCTTTGCAGAGGGGAACCGTGGAGTAGTTGTTTGCCCAAGTCTGCACGTGCTATTCCACGGTTTCTGGTTTGCATTCCAGGAAAGCAGTATCACCAGATCTGAGAAAGAGGAGACTACACATTAACGAAGACGACAGCTGACTCCCCACAGCAAACACTCCTGGTCAGCCCTTCCACTGAGGTCAGCACGCTTAAGCCAGACACCATTTTGCCTGTTAATATGTGGATTGCTACAGTGCTATAGTAGTTGTCAGGCTGTTGTGGTTTGTTGTGCCTTTAAGAAATTATGCCATAAAGGGTATCTGTCTTGAAGTTAGAAGAATTTCAGTAATTTAGGATTTCTGAGAAAATAGTCCTCATCATTAGTAATTAGATTAAAAAAAATGCATTGCAATAACAGAGCTCCCATTTACTTCAAAATTACTGGATTCAGCAATTTGAATTTGTCGGAGAGTCTTAAAAATTGTGGACAGGAAAAAAATACAGTGAAGTAAAGGGTGAGAACCTAATAGGAAAGAAATTCAGTAGTTGTCCTTTTCTTAAAGAAAGGTATGAGAAATCTTTCTGGAGTTAAAACATAATTTTTATCTGTAATAATAAAATTTGTTACAGAATTGTTTTAAAACAGAAATAAATTAATCTCCTACACTTCAGTTGCAAAGAAATCTTTCCAACTGAGGTTATATTACATGTGAAAAACTTGCTGTCTACATGTGTGGTGGATAGTATGTGAAATACCTAAGGATACACTTAAATTCAAGGCTGAAAGCTGAGTGACTTTATATATGTAAGTATTTTAATTGCCCGTATTGGGTTTCTCTTTTCCAGGAAGTTTGGGACAAGCTGTCCTGCTTGTTCCTTTCCCTTCCCTAGAGATCCTGAAATGCCTTTCAACCATTACTGTATTTATTCCCTTCTATCCCTGTTTTAAGCAAGAAGTTTAGCAGCACCATGTTTTCTCATTGCTTGGTGGCACTTTATTGCACCTTTGCACAGTCAGGGAAGGAATAGCAGGTTGGAAATCATAAAGTGTAATACACCACCAAGGAGATTTCTAAGCAGAGAAACAGGTAAATCTGACATGATTTAGGGCTGGTGATGGTGGAACAAATTTCAAGCAAAAATTGAGAAAGATTTGGAAGACAAGGTACAGATTTGATGACAAGATGAGTTTCAAATGGATTGGTATCTTTTCCTAGAAACATACTTCATAGTACAATGCATGTGTTCTGCTCCTAAAAGTATGTTTAATATTTATGTGTTATTAATTATGCTTATTATTTAAGGAATAGGGAGAATCCATGCTTTTGTTAGTGGTCAGCAAGGAAGTTTTTACCTAGGGTCCTGGTCACCTTGTGTTGTCTGTGCTGTTGCAACTAAGCTGCTGCCATGATCTGAGGTAGTTAATTCAGAGCTACACTAGGATTATCTTCATGAGATTTCAGCATAACTGGGCTATGGGGGCATGAAACTTCTTCATCTTTCAGGATATGTTACTATCTTGAGCTGTGAGCTCTATTTTATTGCACTTTATATATTTGATTTGGCACAATAATTCAACAAATTTAAGTATTTAAAGTAATGGCTGTCATTAAGTGTTTTAATAAAGATGGAAAATAAGGACTTCAAATGGGATGAAAGGAATGCTATTCCTAACTGAGATTTGCTGCACTTAAATAGCATCTGTTTACTGAACCTTCTGCACTGAGGTCTGGCCTGCCTGCTGGAAAGGAGAAGTGGGGCCAGGCAGCTTGCCCGTACTTCCGAAGATGGTAAATGACAGAAGCACACAGAAGAACTTTCCTTTTTTACTGTGAAACTTTCCATTAAAATGTATCTATTTTAAAAGAGCAAACACTCTTTGTTGTATCCTTATATGGCAGATATGGCCATCCTGCTTCATCGTAGCTCTGTCCTCCCTGATGTGGGAACACTCCAGTGTAATGTACATTTTCTCAGCATTCTTGTTTTATTGACAGTAATTTCCTAGCTGTTCATTAAGAGCTTGCAGGATGTAAACCAATGGTAGAAGCTAACTAGTGTGAAGTAGTAAAGCTTTATTTCTGTAGTGTGTGTCTGCAAAGACTCACTGTGTGCCTGCTGCGGCTCTCCAGGGACTGTCATTGCTTGTTTCCGGCTGTGGGCTGATGGCTCTTCCGAGTTTGCCCCAAAATTGCTGTGCCTCTCCTGTGTGCAGAGACGTGGTGGGGATGAACAGCAGTTATGCTCTCAATGAGAGATGCAAAGTTAGAACGGAAAGAGGCATTTTGGCTCTGAAATGTAATGTGGAAGAAGAGAGAGAGCTGCATTCTGCACCTCTCTCCTTATCTCTTCTACACCATGTGTGTCTCTATGTTGCAAGTTTGTGATGTTTTGTGTGGATGGAGTGGAGCTGAAAGTAAGAAGTTTTCTCTTTGTGCTCACTGTCCCTTGCAGTGTTACACATATTTCTTTGGGACAGACTTTCGGTCTGTGGGAGACTCAGCTGCGGTGCCTAACTCAGAACTGAAGGGAAATGTTTCACTTCCTGGAGCAGCATCACCAGACTGCCTCTGGGTTTGTCCTGTGGTGCGCTTTGCATTAGGTACCCCAGGGCTGGGAGAGAGAAGTGTGGCAAGAGAAGTAGCAGGCTGTTGGGCCTGGTTTACTTTATATCTCCACTGAATAGTACCTTCCAATTTTCTGCATGCAATTAATTAAAATAATTCAACTGTAAGCAAACTGCTGCAGTTTTAAATGCATGTAAGATTTCAGTAGGATTCTGTTTATCTTTTTCTTTTTGGAGTGTGCCCTCTTACATAAATGGATTTTATTGGAAATGAGGAAATCAAACACCATGTCATAGTAGCACAACAGGGCTCATATTTTGAATATGGATTTCACTGTACCTAGATACAATGTGCAAGCCCATGTATCTGTGACCTGCCTCATTTTTTCTCAAATACATAATATATAAATACTCAATTTCTTTGAGTAAAAGTAATAACAGAGGTCAACTTGCTCAGCATTGATGTGTCACAGTTGTTTCAAATGATAACTCAAATATTTTTCTGCTAAAGGGCAGCATTACAAAAAAATTGATAGAAAATTACCCTCCCAGTAAGTTTTTCCATGTATATAAATGTAAACCTGTGGCAATAAATCAGAAGAATCTCCCTTCTAATCCGTCAATGTGGGAAGAACACAGAAGGTTCCCTTGGTTATTGTGCAGACATGAGAGGAGTAAGGGCTTCTTCTATCAGCTATGGCACAAATCCTGGGCAGATTAAATTATTGCCAGGGAGTCGATTGTGCTCTGGTGAAGGACAGTCTGAGAGTATCATCCCAGTCTTGGAAGGTCTGGTCCTTACTCTGACTCCAGGGGAAGGAGATGGGCCTGCAGGAAACCATTCCCATGAGAAAATCCAGATGCGTAGACTTATGATGCAAATTGATTCCCATATTGTCCTAAGGGCCTAGCCAAAAACTCTTGAGTTTTATACACATGAGAAGAAACTTGGGGTCAATCATGTTTGTTATTTTTGTTAATGAATGAGAACATACACTCTTAAGCATCCTTGACGGACAAATCTATTTCCAGAGTGCTTTCCTCTAGGTAGTATTAGACCTCTGTAGTTCACAAAATACTCTCTATGCCATTCCTTACATTATGTTTTTCTTGGAGGAAACGTTAAGGGGTGAGGGTTGTTAATTTTCTTTAGTGCCACAGCTCTCCTGGTATTGTATTTACATTGGATCTTCATTTGTGCCTTCATACTACTGTGTTTATTCAGCTGTCCTAGAGCTTCTTTCTGAGACTACTTCAGGGCTGACTTTAAACCTGCTTCTCCATTTACACTCCCTTTTGTATAAGCTTGTATGTTCCCACTGATCAAAAATGCTTCCTGCCACATGGTCCCACTATTTAACACATTCCCAAATCTTGTGAAACAGAAAAGGCCTGAGCCAGTTTCTTAAAGGAGGAACCTTAGGAATGTTTGTCAAATTTAAAGGTTTTTTTTAGAATAGCAGTTTGCACCTTTTAAAACCCAAGTAGTGAGGTAATTTCTTAGTATTTTTTTTAATCTTTTAGATTATTTTGATTTAGAGCTAAAATACTTGCAAAATGGACTAATTTGTATTTTAAAAAATCTTAATTGCACAGCTTAATTAAACTTATACTGGCTTAAATAGAATTCCTTTACAAACGTATTTACATTTTAACAGACATAGGCAGGGCATAGCCAGTTAACTTTTCTGTTGATTTACACTCTGCATGTTGCAGGTGACAGGAAAATGGTTTAATATATAGGCTGGAAATATAAGATTCTTAATAATATGATTTTCACTGTGCTGCTTTCTGCTTTTCAGTATCCTGGTACAGGCCTACTCTTATTTTTTGCTTTGATTTTTATAATCAAAATGTTCTAGTAAGGGGAAGAAAGAAATGTGTTTAGAACAGGATGCCATCAGTAAGGAATTTGCTTAGTGTGACTTGAATTTTCTTTCAGTGTCACAGCCACCTGCAGGTCTCCCTTGTGGTATCTGTGATTTTACTGATGAATATGTGGCTTTATAACAGGAAACCATTTCCTGGGTTTATGTCCACCTCCTGTTGCTTTACAAAAATTTGCTTAAAGACAAGAGAAGCAAAGCACACAGGCAAGGTGAATTGCCTTGTAATCTGACTATATCTTGGATATTTGCTATGTGATTTTACCTCTGCAGAAAAGGAATACATAAAACCAACTTTCTTTATTAGTAAAACCAAATTTTTGTGCTGCCAGAAGAAAGTTTATAAATGAAAACTTTACTCACTCACAGTGGAAGCTGAAAAGTCAACATTATTTTTCTTTTTTTATTTGGGAAAAATTTAGACATTGGCTCTGCAATATTAGAATTCTAGCCAAACTTCTCTGATTTGAAAGAATTCACAGGCACATGCATCTAATTAGAATGTCACTCCAATGAATGAAAGAGATGACTGCTCCTCAGCTTTATAGGTAATGTTGCCAGTAACTCTGAATGTGGGGAAAAAAAAACAAAACAAAACAACCTTTTCCCTGCAAAGGTATTTTCACCTCCTAGCAGACCTTATATTTACTTTACATGAAAAAAGAAATATTTCAAACCTATTTGTAAAAATGCTTTTTGACTCACACCTGAGAGGCAGTTGTCTAGGTGTTTCAGTACTGTATTATTAAAAATGGCAGGGAGTGCTTGGATTATTCTTTAAATTGTTGCCATACCCATTTCTGCATGGAAATAAAGTGACTCTTTCAAGTCTGGCACATATTACCCTTGCTAAGGTATGGACAAGTGTTGGATTTCAGTAGCTTTCTTCTGAAAATACTCTGATGTGCAGTTTGTTTTAACAACACAGTTTACTCAGAAGCAGCTGATTTTTGGAATTTCTCGAAGACTATTTCAACATTCATCTCAGTGTGAGGTCTCCCAAATAATGAGAACAAACCAGTTAATGTAATAAGAAAACTATCTTGTTACGCTGTTTTGGGCGCTGTGAGTCCAGGGTCCACCAGGCTCGCCTTGCCAGCTCTGACTGAGGAGTTGGTTCCCTTCAGCAGTCAGCTGGTGGCAACAGCAGAGTTTAAGGAGTGGTTGTATGTGCAGAAACACAATAGCTGGAGACCTTGAAATCTCTGGGAGGAGGTAGATGTTTTATGGTTTCTGCCACTACCTTCCCTTCTGTTTACTATTATCTTTCTTTTTTTTCTCTTTCAGAATTCTCCCGTCTTACTAGAAGGAAAGGCTTTTCTGTTCTGCCTGTACTTCTAAGCCTACAACCTCTGTAGACTGGAGACTTCACTGTTTCATTGTCATCAGCGAATAATTGTGGTATCTCTTTGCTTTAGCAAACTGGAAAATGGAAATGAAGAGAAATACAACAAAGTTGCTGTGGCTGTTGATGTTCTTTGATATTGTGCCATTCAGCTATGAAAAATCAATGAGAGAGCGAGCTATCGAGCTGATGCAAGATGCACGTTTAATCGATGGGTATACAAAATATGTTAAATTAAACCCTCTTTTTGAATCTTGACAAGTGAGGAAGAAGTGCTGTTTGGATCAGTAGAGACATAGGCTGTTACAGGCACATAGCAGTTACTGTTTCAGTGATTCATCTGGAAGGAATTTTGGTTCAGATGGTACTTACTATAGGATCAAGTTATTCTAAATATAATTGTGATTTTTCTGATCAGGTTTTGCCACTTAATTTTTGTTTCCCTTTACATAATGTCCTTGTATCCTTCCTGTAATTTAGTGGCATCTTTCATTACCAATGACTTCTGTGCAGAGCCATAAAGCAGTCATCAGCGTTTGAAAGGGTACTCTTAGAACTTGAAGAAATGATGTCTGTGGTGTGTGTATTTTGACCTGGCAACACAGACACTGATTATTCTAGCACAGGCAGCACTGGTTATTCTACCACAAGTACTTGCTTCTAAGGAGTGTGGTGGCTGATTTCAGCTCTTCTTTCAGAAATGATAGGGAGCAAAATAGATACAGAAACACAACAGCTATAAAAATGAGAGAAGCAAAAAAAAAAAAAAAGTTTATTGCCCTCTTAACTAAGAAATAAAGCTTGTTTGCAAAAGAAGGGAGAATTTTAAACATATTACTAGAAGGATTGGCAATTAATATCTAAGGGACTATGAACAGAAAAAGAAATTATGTGTGGGTTAGAAGTGGAACATTTTATTCCTATCACAAGCTCTATTTGTTTTCAATTCTAGCCACAATGACTTTGCGCTGAGACTGAGAATATTTTACCAAAATAAACTCAGTGGAGTTAACTTAAGAGAACTCAACAAGACCCACACAAACTTTGAGAAACTTCAGGCTGGTTATGTGGGAGCTCAGGTACGTAATGCCATGGTTGTGAGTTTGAGAACATATTTTTACATTTGCCTCCTTCCCAATCACAAAAGTACACCTGGCCTTGGTTTTGGCTCTTTCTGTTGAAGAAGAAAAAACATTGAAACTGAAAAGCCACAGATGCTTTTCCATAACATTTGTGTTTCAAAAGTTTTGTGTTTTATAGTCCAGGTACCCTTAACCAAAACAGTGGTGTTCATTTTGTGATAAATAAATTAACATAAACTTACATCTGCTTTCCTGTGTGTACTGTGGAGTAGCTGAGCATGTCAGGAGGTTTTAATCATGTCTGTGGTGCATGCTCTTGCCTTCCATTGTCACTCTTCCTTTGGGGGAAAGAACTGTAGTGGCAACTCCCTTGTAAACTGCAGGAAATTATTTTTGCCTGTGCTCATGAACTTCACTGTTATCAAATGAAAATTTCCAAGCTAAAACACAAGTTATCTAGTTTACTTGTCAATGTCTCTTTCAGTTTTGGTCAGTGTATGTTCTTTGCAGCGCTCAGAACAAGGATGCTGTGCGTCTGACCTTAGAGCAAATTGATGTTGTCAAGAGGATGTGTCACAACTATGAAGAGCTTGAACTTGTGACAACTTCCCAAGGTGATGCTCTTTCTTGTAACAGAAATTTTTAAAATGGAATTGCAGGAGGTATGTGCAAAAGACAGAGAGATGCAAGCAGGCAAGTTATCCTGGTTTAAAGAGTAACTTCAGTTCTTCCACTGAATCACAATAACTGACTCTGTGCATGGTCCTGGCCCACTGCAGTCATAAGAGAATTTGCCATAAAAATATGCATTAGTATAAGCTCCTGTTCTATGAAAATGTCAGTGATGTTGCTTGCAATTGACCATAACAGTTGTTGCTCAGTAGTGCCGACTTCTTATCTGTCATGAAATTACTTTGGAATTATCTTCCTTTGTTGTCTCCAGGTATCTCTGACAGTAGAAGGATTGCGTGTTTGATTGGAATAGAAGGTGGTCACTCCATTGACAGCAGTTTGGCAACACTGAGGATGTATTATGACCTGGGTGTTCGTTACATGACTTTAACACATTCCTGCAATACACCTTGGTAACTAATGTGCATGTTTTTGCTTGACCATCTAATGCAAAGTGGTGGCAGATCCAAGATGAGGAAAATATGGATTCAGACACAGAGTTCACCTGTGAAAGACTCTGAACCAAGTCAAAGATGATAGGTTTTTAGGGTACATCACTTCGCATGTGTCAAGTATGTGACGGAAGGAGTGTTATGTAGTGCTTGATACGCTGACAATTTTGGAAACTTTTAAACCTTGTTAACAACACAAAGATGGTAAAATTGCTCTCCCCTTTGCTTTATTGGGAAAGTTACATAGGAAAAAACAGACCAAAAAAAAAAAGTAGTACTAAAAATGCATATGATGTAGATAAAAGAGGGTAAACACTCTGTAAGAACTCAACAGTCAGCAGCCTTCAACGCTGCCCTCTCTTGCCAGTTCAGAAGTGCAGCTACAGATATGGGTACCTAGTTCCTGTATCAGAACATTAGGACTTACTCCTTGCTGGATTGACAAAATTCCTCTTTGTACTGACTCAGGGAAAGGGGAATTGTGTTCAGAGTGGGATGAAAAGCAGGCTTTTTGGCTGACAGGTAACCAACATTTCAGTGTATCTTTGTTCTCTGATGAAGGTTTGTTTAATCAGAAAATTTTTCATAAGCATCTTTTTGCTTGTCTTCCATTGATTCACAAACATAAAACAGTCCTGAGTGTGAAGGCATAATGTCCAGAAAACAGTTACAAGCATGAAAAGCACTTTGTGAACAAGATACATATTATGTAGTTCATTATCCCTATATTTGGCTATGTGACATTGTAGTGATTTTTACAGTGTGTAGCATAATAAGTTTTTGATGATATTATAGTCTTCATAATAATATGATGTTTCTCTTCCCTAACTCCCCCTTTTAAGGTCTGAATCATCATCTAAAGGAATACACAACTTTTATCCTACTGTTACTGGTCTGACTGCATTTGGCGAAGTAAGGATCTCTTTTGAATGCTAACCCAAGCAATGTCTTACGCAATTAAAAACTTCTGGCTTTATCTTGTCAAAAGCAATTTGTCATTGGAAATTAATTACTGGAAATCCTTGATAGTTAGGAGGTGATCAGGGTTCAGTGGAAACAAATTCTCCATGATGCTCCTTAGGGTAAAAGAAGCTCTAGATTTAATTATAACAATTGTTTCAATACAGATCAGATGTATGAATTAATATGCAGTAGTAGTGGGATATGAGTAACAACGCAAATTTTTTAATTTCGATTGACTAAGTTTTCTGAATTTTGAGCATGTGATGGTATGCTAGTTAGTTGTGAGTGAATAAATTACTTTTTAATTAATAGGTAAATAGAAATCCATACAGGCACAGCATGTTTTTGACTAGCTGACAGCTGCAGAATTTATTTCTGTTTACTTATATCAGCTATATGGTTTCCTTCAAGGAAGCTTATTACTGATACTGTTGTCTGTAAATCTGTTTTAGGAAGTGGTAAAGGAGATGAATCGCCTGGGTATGATGATAGATTTATCTCATACTTCGTATTCCACAGCAAAATCTGCACTAAGTATCTCAAAAGCACCAGTAATTTTCAGCCATTCCTCGGCATTTGCTATTTGTAATCACTCAAGAAATGTTCCTGATGATATCCTCCAACAACTGGTGAACAATATGGGTTTTGTCTTTGTTTTTTGGGGTTTTGGGGGGGTTGTTTGGTGGTTGGTTGGTTTGTTTGTTTTCTGTTTGTTTTAATGGCAGTGTTTGGCTAGTCTGAGGCAAACTTGCACATTCAAGTTGTGGTGCTTACTCTTCACCTTCTCATCTCTGAATTGGATTTGTGAGCAGATCCCTGAGCAGCAAATTATACATTCACCTCTGAGATGTTTTCTTTGCTTGTGTTTTGTCTTTGGCTACAAAAATTAAGTGTTTGCAAATACTTCTGAAGTTCTGGTTGAGTTTGTTTGACGTAGTCACTGGACTTTTGCTAATTCAGGCTACATGAGAATATAATGAATCCAGGGTAAGGAACAGAGAGGCAAAGCCTTGTGTTGCTACCTGAGCTTTGGTTAATAGTCTGTTGTTATGCTCACTGATGGATGTAGAAGGATCTATATGAGATGTCTGTGAGGTTTGCAGGACACACGAGTGTCCACTCATCAACAGTCTCTTCATCTCTTTCAGAAAAAGAACAAGGGAATTATCATGGTGACTTTCAATGCAGATGTACTGGCCTGTGGCAGAAAAGTTGTTAATGTTTCTACCCTTGCAGGTTTGAAGCTAATATACTGTATTTTTTGTGGGTGGCCTCTATGAATTTCCAGGTACCTGTGTCATTTTTGAGATTGTTTAAATGACACTGCCTGATTATACCCTTCCACATCTTACCCAAGCTCTAGGTATTCTTGGAGCTAATACTCATCAAATAACAAGAGGCACAAGGTGTGTCACTGGAGGACATGATGCTCCTTAATGGAGCCAAGAACCATTAATCCCAAAGTAGTTGTTACTTTCTGGAAAACATCTTAAACCTTTGTAATTAAAAAGAGTGGAAAACATAGGTATGTAACGGGTAATGAAAAATCTGTTGGCATATGTGGGCTACTTGTTGGGAATTAATGTGCTGTGGTGATCATGTCTTTTTCCCCATTTGCATCTCATCAGTGTAGCTGTTATTTTGAAGATCGCTGCCTGATATTCTTAATAACCAGTAACATCTGGTTAAGCATCAGTAAATATCCAGAATACGTCAACTGCATTACTAAATTTTAACCTGTATTCTCAGGATGTCTTTTGACTTTTCTTTAGGAGGATTTAATTATGAATCCATGATTAAGGAGAACAGTTGCCTAGTACCAATATGTCTGAACTGTATTATTTCTTCTTGTCAGATACTTAGACATTGTTTTATTTGATATTTTCTTTCAGATCATTTTGATCATGTAAAGAAAATTGTAGGTTCAGAATTTATAGGAATTGGTGGTGACTATGATGGAGTGAAAAGGTTAGTAAAATTTTACACACAGTGACATCTGCTCCTTAAATGATAAAGGTTTTGATTCCTTTTGGGGAAAAAAGGCGGCACACTAAAAGAGTTGTAGCAAATTGTCTTGTGATGAACACTGAAACAAGTTTTATGAAAGAGGGGCACAATAGAACTGTATGAAGCAGTGCTACAAATGTGGAAACAGATTCTAATGCCCTGTGAACTCTGCAATTGCGTTGTTCTAGGCAGTGGTTTGTGCATACAAAAACAGTGACAGAGGGTGCTCTCCTCCAGAAGCCAAAGATGAATGATGAAAAAGCTGCCTCAGCCTTTAGATGGTAAAAGGGTTAGCCCAGGGAGATGCTGCAAAACTCTTTCCTCCATGATTGCTTTCTAGTGGGGAAAGCCCGAAGTGTTTTGGGGCTGTGAAACCACTCCTGCCTTTGGGGCTTGGGAGCATTTGAGGCCAGTGGAGCATGGTGAACAGCCTACAGCATAACCTCTCCTGCTCACTCCTGGGCTAGTGATGTTTCAGCACAGGAAGTAAATGCAGATTGGGTGGCATTTGCTGGTGTAACCCTAAAGCTTTTTTTGCTTTTTATCTTTCTGTTGAATCTTCATGTCCTCTTCTTATTTTTTTTCCCTGAGGTCACATACAATTGGTTATGGAAGTCACAGACTCACATCTGTAAAGTAGGACCACAAAACCAGTGCATCAGCTCCCATGACAGTTAGCTAATCATAGCTCTGAAACTATAATCTCCAAAATAAAAACATAGTTTGCAACAAAAGGACACATTTTATTGCATGCATTTTTGCAAAGACCATCAGTTTAATTGGTGGTGGAGTTGTTAAGGTCCTAAATCCTGATAGAAAGTAATGGCACAGATTTCTTGAGACATGTTTATCCTCACACCTCCACGGAACAGAAAAATAGCAGAAAATATTATTTATCTCAAAACAGAGTCAAAGGCTCATGGAAATACAGCTTAAAACAGTTGTTTAATGCAGGTTTTTCAGCTTCTTATTTCCAATTCCTTTTTATCTTCGTAAGACTTAGCACAAGACATAGGTCACTTTTGCTTATTGTCATTTCCTCAGTACAGGGTTGTGAATAGCTTTCTTTTCATTGCCTAAACTGCTGAATTCAAGACAGTGTTATTATTCTAATTTCATTTTCTTTGGAAAAATGACTTTGTAAATAATAGAGTACACAAAATGGCCTGTGAGTCCTTAGCTCATCATGTGTTTGTATGTTCCCTTTTGTTCTCAGTTCTCAAGTGGATTGCACCAACTACATCTGTGATGCAGCTGTTGCTTCTTCCTTTAAAGGCCAGATATAAAGAGTGGATTAATGCATACATGAGTTTGATTTTTTTTTTTTTTTTTTTTTTTGTTATGATTTAATATCCTCCATGCTCCTGTTCTGTCTATACACAAGTGCATCTTCATTCCGGAATACACCGTTTTGTTCTGCTAATGGGATTCTTTGTGCAGAAAAAGCCTTTCATTGTGTCCCAGTCCTACTTCTGTTTGTCAGTTGAATTATTAATTATTATTTTAAATTCTCAGATGAAGAATTGGGTCCAAGTGAGCTCACACCAGAAGTGAATATGTGCAAAAGAATAATCAGAAAATCTACATTTTTTCAGTGATGTGTGTTGAATGTTCTTGTGTGACTTTTGCCAACAGTTTCCCTGAGGGATTGGAAGATGTTTCTAAATACCCTTCTCTGATTGAGGAACTTCTTAGAAGAGGATGGACTGAAACTGAACTGAAAGGGGTCTTAAGAGAGAACTTTCTCCGTGTCTTCAGGGAAGTGGAAAATGTAAGAATAAAAAGTAAACTAAATCTTGATTCTTATTAAGATGGAGAGAGGAACTGTTGGTGCCTTACTGCTTTTTTGCCTCTTTTGGTTTTTTTTTTTTTTTTTCTTCAGTGAGAGTGCTATGAGGGAATGTAAGAACTTAATGCAATAATTCCAAATGTTGGGAAAGAAACCAAGATGGCAAGAGGGTGTTAGCAGAATAAAGGAATGTGAGAGAGAGTGGACAAAGCTCTTTGGAAATTTTTCTCTCTGTGGTAATCTGATAAGTACACATCACTGACTTCTAAATAGAATCACTTCATGGTTTGGAGAAACTGCGGACGTACCAGTGTCACAGTCTGGCTGTGTTCGCTGGTGCAGGAAGGAATGCTGACTGCAAATGAATTTAATTCTTGTCATGGGATTGGGCTGGGTATCCAAAAGGCTCCTGCCATGACCAGACCACTAACAAGCCATGAACATAACAACTAGATCACAACAAGCTTTAAGAGTAAATGGTAGAAGCTAATCCAGAGGATGAGGAAGGAAAGGAGGGAAGGAGAGAGACTATATGGGAATAAGGACACACTAAATGGTAACTTTTTCAAAAGCCTCTGTTGAAACTTGCAAATTGCTTGTGTCCTTATGTTTTAATTTACAGGGATAAGTAAGTAGATATTATACACAAAGCCTTATAGACAACATACATTTCACAATGATCTTTTTTCCAGTTGCCTTTTTGGGGTATGTTAGATAAAGAGAAATCAAGGAATTTTGTACTGTTACAGTTAATCTGCCAAAATATCTACCTAATGCCGAATTGCACATTGGCAGACTGAAATTATGAAGAGGTTGAAATTCATCACACCTAGCTGATCTGTGAGATTTAGTAATATTTTTCCTTCTAGAGATGTTTGAAGCTCTTGTCCTGAGACTGTGAGCTGACTTTGGGGAAGGAAGCTCATGAGTTTGCTTAAGGTTTTCCAGCTAATGCATCCATATGTGGAGGGAGCCAAGACAAAGAACAGCCAGACCTGTGACTCTTGCTTGAAATGTCTACTGAATTCTGGGAAGTGTTTCATAGGAATGCAAACATCAGGGTAATGATGTTGATTTCTTCCCGTTCACATGTGGCTTTGCAATACAGTTTGAGTTGTTTCACTTGAAATAGCATTGAATTTGATAGCTGCATAAAGGTTTTTGCTGTTGTGCCAGTCTGGCTCTCAGGGCAATCTTTTCAACTTTTCTAGGTGCGGAACATTAGTGGACTAATGGATGTAGGTGAAAGTGAAATTCCACAAGAAGAAGTACAAAATTCCTGTCGCCTAGATCTACGTAATCATCAGCTTCAGACAGTCAGGTCCTTTGGATTTCCTTCTGTGGCACAACCTTTCAGTCTTGTAATTGTATCATATCTAATATTGTATTTTGAATCATAAGATCTATGGAGTCTAGAGAGAGACATATGGAGTAATCTGCAATGCAACTAGTTACCCTAAAAAGCTATGTAAAGCCATGCTAATTTTTTTGATATAATGCCTATAAATTCACCTGCATACTTGATAGATAATGTGGATTTTAAATGTTGTAGCAAAAGCATTCAGAATTTTAAGTGATAAATTCTACGTCATCTTGACTAAACCAGGACCAACATCATTAGGTGTCAATACTTTCCATGAATAAATAAATTCTCTAGTACATGACACATGGTTTTGGCACCCATATTGTGGCACTTGGATCAATACTGGAGTCCAGAATCAGCAGTTCCACACAGGAACTAAAGAATATGATTAAGACACCTGTGCTGAGATGTTTTCAGATATTACGTCTTGTTAAATCAGACAACTTTCAACACCAGTCAATGGCTTAGTCAGAGAAGACAACCCCCCAGTATATGTAGAAGAGTGGGGTTTTTTGTTTTGGTTTGTTGTTTTTTTTTTGTTTGTTTGTTGTTGTTGTTTTGTTTGTTTTTGTATTTGTTTTTTTTTTTTTTTAAGATGACATGGTGATTGACATGGCTATTTCAATTCAGATTTCATCTCTACTGCTAGCTTTAGGGATCCATCCTGCAGTATTAAACTCTTACTTTTGAACGCTGACCAGGACACTGGGCAAGTGGATAGTTACTGAAGGGCAGAAGGAGGTGTCTTGCATTCAGGTACAGGTGATCAGGCAATGCTGTAGATACTTTTCTATAATTTTGGGACTGCTGTTTGCTGCATGTTTATGAAGCTGGGAGCAAGAATAAGCCAGGACAAAGTAAGAATTCTGGCTACTCAGAGGGTGAGATCTTGTTCTGATATTTTTATTGCAGTCTGAAAAGTATAAAATGAGTATTTAAATAAAAATTTTGTTAGAATGCTCCACAGCCTTGTGGAAATCTTTTTTGCATTTGAACAGTGATCCTTATCAATAACAGGTTTTATTATTTTATTTTTATTCTAGCTGGCTAAAATCAGACCATTGTCAAAGGATTCATAGGCATGAGATTAGAAAAAAATCTTTTTATGATAAATCTTCTGCTGTTTCAGCCTTTGGAACACGTTTTCAGATACACAAGGTATGTGAGGTTAGGAGCTACTGTTATACAAAAGAGCATATATGCTTCAAACCTGGAATTTTAATCAAAAATCCTGAGATTTGTGATGAAATTGTAAGATGGCAGCACTACATCTTTGTAGGGTCATTTCCCAGTGGTTGTTGGTAAATGTCTTCTTGTGATACTTGCTGTTAATTGTGATTTTTATCCCATGATATGTGCTGTTATTTACTGATGACATCTATGGAATTTAGCCTTTGTATAAAATTAAAGCCCTGTAATTGATCTAAGGACAGCATCTGTTAACACACAAAGTATTTAACAACTGAAAGACAAGGCTAAGCATGAACAGAAAGGAAACAGCAAGTCAATTGTTTTCTAGTCATTCAGGACTGTTCCTGTCATCCATTTCTGCATTCCAAGTAGGGTTTCTGGAAGAATACTGTTCTTTGCTTCAAAATGAAGCTTCATTAGGTCTTCTGATAAGGTGGTCTCCTTGATGAATATATTCTGAATATACTACTGTCACTTACTAAATTCTTTACAAATCATGTTGAATATCTGCATACAAGCAAAGTTTTTAAGAGAAGTTTCTCAATAAATACTGATCCTGCTTATGCATCTGTAATGGTGAATTACTACGCTGACTCATGTCTTGCCTTCCCGATACTGCTTGACTGACACCAGAACTTGTTTTACTGGTAAAATTATGAATTCACTAGGGCAAATATTTACTTCCCATCAGTACTTCTCTAAATAGCTTCATAAACCATTGCAAAACTGCCATCTGTGGTCTCTTTTCACAGAATTGGTACTGTGATAGTAACTTCATTACATATTTGAAAAGTTTCCTTATTCCTTCCAGCTTTAATTCTTTCTACTGTGTTGTCACTTTCCTGCCCACTTATTTCTGCTTTTTTTCCATGCTGTAGCATGGATTAAAAATATATTCCTTTTCTTAAAGATATGGATAATACTTTTATATGACTGATTCCATCATACTATATATATTTGTTGTTTATTTTCTTGTTTTATCTATACTGTATTACACTTATTTGTTTGACTGCTTTGTGCAATGAATAATTTGTAGCCTTGTGGCACAACATATACATGAAATTTAAATAAAATATTTTTTAAAATTGTGTATAGATACTGGTGTAATCTCACAAAACTATCTAAATGTTCATAACGCCAGGAAACCCCAAAAGAACCATTCAACTCTGTTGTAGAAGGAAGGCTAGGGATTCATGAGGGCTTTGGGTGGGTTCTTCACAGGGAAGGTGGCCTCTCCCATGGCAGGCAGGAGAGGTTTGTTTAACCCTAGAGCATCCTGGGTGTAAGCAGTTCGCCTCATTGTCACTCTGATACCACCTAACCTATAGAGAAGTCCGAGCAGGTGTCTGTTGAAAGGGAACAGGGATGACTCAGTCATTGCAGTGAGGCCATGACAGTGTTTCCTGCAGCAAACTTGGTCAAGCTAGTCAAGACATAGAGAACAAGGCTTATGGGGAACTAGAAAGGCTGCCTGCACCAAGGTTAGGACAACCTCTACTTCACAGCATTTCTCACAGATGACCTAGGAGTTTCTTTTTCCATTACTAGTTCCAATGTTAATTCAGAATGCTTCAAATAAGCTGCTTGTGTGAAACCAGTATCGGAGTGCAAAATCATTAAAGAAGGAATGGAATTCTGTGCATCATGCAATGATTATGCACGTGGTATCTAGCTTATCTAATAGCTGCAGTTAGTTTATTTTTCTTAAATGATCAAAATCACACAGCTTGAAACATGGTAGAAAGGAATCTCATTGGAATTCAATTTCAAAGCTAAAATCATGTAAGATATGGCTGTGACTTCTGTCAGAAAAATTCTAGTGACCCTTCAGTGTGAGTGTTAGTGTTTCCAGTCCTACTGACAGCAGCTTGTAGTAGTAGTCACAACACTGAATTTCTAACAGCTCAAGCATAAAATAAATGATTGTACTTTGATTTCTGCCTCCCAATGGAGAGGATGATTCATCCTGAAATTGAATGCCTTTCCCCTGCACCTATTAATAAGAGCAATTTGCATTGGTAATTTGTAATACACGCTAGCTCAAGTGATAGATTCTATTATGGCTAGTAGTACCAGTGCAGTATCAGATATAATTGAGATACTAACTTTGTAATAAGCTTTTTTGGCTGCCAAATGGAAGAATGCAAGTCATTATTTACCTCTTCTAAATAATGAGTTGTGCTAACATGAGTTCTGAAAATAGTTATTACTATTTCTGTAAATCTCAAAATCGATGTACTATGAAGTACTTCAGGCTGTCTGTCTAAGTAAGACCCAATCTTCAAGGCATCTTTAACAGCCCGAGGCTCATGCTTTTGTCTGTGGTATGAACAACCAAAAACTACAGACATAATATTGATGCAGACTATTGATTTGATTCTAAAAGGTTGTTGCCAGCACCCTTCCTCCAGTACTATCTTTTTCCAGACTAATGGACTGGAGCATCCACAGAAATAAACAACTTCAATTCTCAGTTGTCTCATCTGGGTAAGTGGTGATGCTAGAAACCAAGCCTAAAAAGTCTATTGATGGTCTAACATATACAGCTGATCTGGTATGTGGAATCTGAGTAGTTCAGTTCATGTATCTAACTTCTTCTCAGTAGGTGACTTGTTTGGGCCGTGGAAGGACTTTTGCATGTTTTACATTGGACACGGACTGCTGAACTGTGCTGGCACTTAACATCTGCATTCCTTCTTGCATGTCATTGAGCTGGTCAAGCAATATGCCCACATATTTCTATATTTCAAAGTCAGTAAGCATCATGCATTAAGTCTAACCACCTCTATAAATATAAGTTTATTAACTTCTGTTTGATCTTAAACATAAGGTTCAGTGGGCATCTGCTCCACAGATTCAACTTTCAAAAGCCGGGTATCATTGTATTTCCATCACCTTCTGGAGTAAGGTGCAGTGCCATAGAAGTTTATGCCTGTGTCAACTTTGGCTGCTGCAGTCCTACCCTGTTTCTTCACTGCATGTTTTCTTCTCTGTTCCTTGTGACAGACAGCACTGGTGTTTGTGTAACTGTACAGTAAGCTCGTTCAGGGAGCTCATCTAGCTGAAAATGAACTGTTTTCTTTGCTCAAGTGATGTGTTTCCTGCTGATCGTCAGCGATTGGGTTAACCATTTCCGTGTTAGTGGAAGGGAGGAGCAGAAAAGCAGTGAGACTGCAGGAATTTAGATTTCTTCTATTTGCTGTTGAAAGCAGCAACTTCTCTGTTAGCTCTTCTCTGGATTTATACATATGGAAATGATCAAATTGCTTAAAATTCTGAAAATGTAACATGTCTAAACTAGAAAAAAACCAACCAACCAACCAACCAAAAAACCCCAAACCCACCCAGAAGATTCTTCTCACTAACAGTGGCTTTTATTTGCTCTTACTATTTGTTTAATTTAATTCACAAACCCAGAGCAGTATGTTAGTGGATCTGCTGAACTGCATTCAGGACAGACTGTGATGCTGGATAACTCTCCTTGGAGCATTTTGGAAGGCTTCATTCAGAGTTTCAAGAACTTTTTTTTTTTTTTTAATCTAGTCTTGATTTTTGTCTTCGTATGGGACCTAGAAACCTTACATCTACATAGAACAACCTGAGATATTGGTGGGCATTTGGTGCTCCTACAGTTTTCTTTTTTTTTTAATATTTTGAAACAAGAGAAATGGAAAGCTTTTACTAACCTTCATATTTATTTATAAGTTTATTGTGTAGTTTGTCAGAGGAAAAAGAAAATCTGTGGCAATGGGAAGCATTTTTGTCCCATTTCTGTATTTGACAAGTGTCCAGGATCTTCAGTGATTGAGCTAGAACCTCTCAGTCACTTGGTCCAGTATTACCAGAGTCAGTGTTGGTAGTCTGCTTCATTTCCTGGCACTCAAATTGCAAAGGTGGCAATTCTTTCCCCAATGTCTGTACAGTTTGAGAAATTATTACAACCTGTGCAGTTCTTTTACTTTGCAAAGCAAAAGCAACAAATATCCCCTCTTCCTTAAAACTGTGACCTCAGATATTAGACTTAGTTCAGCTGCTTCTGTCAGAAGTCAATAAATAGTGTGTGTGTGTGTGGAGGGGGGAAACCAAGAAACTAAGTAAGCCAAGTTCAGCATTTAGCATACATCACAGAAACACTGCTGCTTTTAATCAAGGCTTTAGCCTTAACAATCAGTACTCAAATGAGAGGGCACTTAATTTTGCTCTGTTTCTACTGTTTCTCCCTAAATTGTTTTGTAAAATTCATGATGATGATTCTTTCACCTATATAATGGATAAGTATATTTTTTCTGAAGCCCTTTCTCAGTACCTGGTCTCACTGTTTTCATAAAACATTTCTTTTGCCAGTTCTGCAATGAAAGAAAAGCACAGAGCCCAGGAAGCAAGAATTCAAGTTCCCCTGTGGGTTGTTGCTGAGAAACAAAATAAAGATTAAAATAGCTAAGATAAAAACTGAAGAATACAAGTTTTGGCAGACAAATCAAAAGGAGGTCCCTTTAGTCTGGAATACAAACATTTGAAAAGAGGTTTAATATATCTTTGAAAAGACCGTTTTGAATAACTTTCTTGAGTGTCCTCCTGTAGTTAGACTCAGCATCTAAAGAATCTTGTCTAGGCCTGTGCCTAGTATCTTCTCTGAGTCCTTTGTTAAAAACTTAAATAGACCATGACAAAACTATCCATGCTAAAAATGAAACTGAATTGCAAATCGATCCCTTAAAAAAAGGAAAAAAAAAAAACAAAACACCCTGAGTAGTATTTTTTCAGCATCTTAATCTTACCCTGAAAATTTCTGCAATGTTTAACAAGTCTAGTGGAGAAAAGTTTGATCCGGTTCTTCTTATCTAAATTTACAGAATGTGATGGGGGGGGTGGGGTGGGAAGATAATCTCAAAGATTTAATTTTTCAGTCGCTAAAAATGAGATTGAGGTATTACTGTAGAAATGGCTGTTCCAAGTATTGAATACAGTTATGAGTAATTTTACATCTGAGGCAGAGTTTCTTGAAGTAAATAAATTTTGAAGCGGCACCATAGTGTCCTCTTGTGGTCTTTTAATGTCTGGGCTGTGACATGTTTTCTATGGGAACAGCAAAATTTTCAGTTGCAGTTAGTGTATGAGCTCCAGCATAATGTGACTTTCCTTGCCTCATTTTCTTCCTAGAAATGGCATATGGAGGACTGCATATTGCATCTCCCATAAGCTCTCACTACTCTGTCCCCAGTCATTTACATGTGGATGTACGTGTTGCGGTCTTCTCCAAAGGACCTCTTTCAGTCACTGCTTATCTTCGTCACTGATGAAATAGATCCTGATCTTTTTTAGTGAGAAGCCTTTGCAGCCAGGTTGCCAGTTTCCAGCCTGCTTTGTCCACAAGGCTGGTGTGATCCTCGGATGTGGAGATGCAGGAATGTGCTGAAAACAGAAGTCACTATGGTGAAATGCTGGCCATGAACTTGCAAAATTTCTGCCAAGCCTCATGTCCAGGGAAGCTGTACCTTGGCAGTGGCAAGTTTTGTTTTGTTATTTTTCCTGATGGCCAGCTCTGGTCTGCTCTGAACCTGGGAACCCAG